CTCCTGCTGACCGTGAAGTGTTTGCAGTCCCGTCCACTGGATGGCCAGGGTCTGTTCCTCTTTGGATGGGAGCTGCATTTCCTTTCTGGATGGACGAAAGGGGTGGCTGAAACAGCCGGGAAGGCATGTTGGTTTGTCTCAGAGGGGTAGCCCCTGTAAAAACAACAAGGAGTCCAGTGGTACCTTAGAGACTAACAGATTTACTTGGGCATCGGCTTCTGTGGGTAAAGCCCACTTCATCAGATTGTCCATTGCATCTGACAAAGTGGGTTTTACTCACAAAAGCTTATGCCCAATTACATCTGTTGGTTTGTGTTCAAGCTGCATGTTTTAAGTAAGGCCAGAAGGGTCTGCATTTGCAGAAAACAGTTTCTTGGGTCCTGGGCTACATGATCATGCTGGGGAAGGATTGTGGGGGTTGGGAGAATAATGTTGCAACACCCACACTGCCATGTGGCGGGTTTGGTGGTCTCAGCTGCATCATCCCTTAGTTGTTGTACATCCTAGCAGGAGACCAGAGCGCAGGATGTGAGCTTGGAAGTTAAAACTGAATTAAGCCAGAGGAAGCTCTCTGCTGGTAGATTTCAGTTGATCTCAGAGGAAGACAGGAGGAGTAGGGAGCCTTTGTTTATCCCTGCTTGTATCCAGACTGGCTCCCTGCTTCCCACCTATTTGATTTCTGACTCTCATTTGAAAGGCACTGTGACAAAAAGACCTGCCCTCCACTTTTCCTGGGGGTATGCAGGGGTTTGGCAGTGGGGTCAAATAGAGTTTCTGCTCTCCCTGTATTAGGGGAGAGAACAACTATTCAGCTCTATCAATTGGAGAAGGTTTTTTCCTCTTTCAGGCTGCAAGGTAATAATAAAAAAGCCCACTATTTATTGTAAGAAATAATGCAAGTAACCAAATAAAAAACTCTTTGAGCCCATTCTCAGTGGTAACCTGGGCAAGACCACTTCAAAATTGGAAGATGCGTTATTGTTTGCATTTGTCTATGAATGATCTGATTACACAGACATTGGAAGGAACAGAAGCACCATGGTCTAATAGAGCAGGAATCTAGGCACCAGGATTCTTGGCTTTTCTTAATGGCTTGCTTTGTAACTTTGGACAATATCTCAGTTACTCCCATATGAGAAAAATCATATGTACTTAGCTGCCTCATGGAGGGGTTGTGTAGCTTCATGACTTCAGGTTTGCAGAGCCTCTTGAAATCCTCGGCAGGAAGATTCTGTAGAAGTGCCAAGTATTATTATATTACTAGTGTGTGTATGAGTTCATGCTGATAGACATACACAAATTGTGTGATGATAAGCTGTAGTAGTTTGAGTCATTATTGTTAAACTAAGGCATTATTAGTGGCGTACCATAGAATATTTTTGTCGTTAAAAATAGGAATGGATCAGTCTAACTGGGACTTCCATCCCAATCCCATTAATACAGAGGGGTAATACAGACTCTGCCTCCACTTTCCCCTCTGTAATTGAGATGATAGGATTTGCTGTCATACTGGTCTATCCCATATTCTTGTTTGCAATAGTGGCCAATAAGTAATGGGAGAGAGGAAGGTGAAACCCCCCTGTAATGCAACTGATTGGCAGTACAGTGCTGTACATGCAATACTCCTTCCTGAACCTGGCAACAATCCATTTCTACAAGGAAGCAGGAGAATGGAAGCAGTTGGATCTTCTAAGTGACCACATGTCTCAAATATTTACCAGTGTTGTTTGGGTCCTTAAGGAGGGGTCAGGGCTGGGAGCTGTGGGTTTGAGTGCAGGAGTTAGGGTTGGAGGTGAGGAGGGGCTCAAGGCAGGGATTGGGATTGTGATTGTGTGTGTGTGAGGCTGAAGCCCCGCCTAAGATTAGTATAAGGGCTCCTTGCTCTTCCCCTTCCAGAGCAAAGTGCACATCTCATCTGCCCCCTGTGTTCCCCAGCCAGTGTGAGGAATGCAACAAACTGCACTTTCTCCTCACTCCCTGACAAAGGGGAACAGCCACCAATGTCCTTGTAAGAATCTGGTGTGGAGGAGAGCGTTAGCCTCCCCACCCTCCCTATGGGGCTCCTGGAGGTTGGGAAGCTTAGGGCTATAGTAGTCCCGAGGGGGGGACAGTCGGATCCTTTCACCTGCCTGGTGATTCCGTCTCTTTTCTGTATGGTTTTATGAGAAGCAATCCCATTCCAGGCACATCCTGTTTTCCTGGAACAACCAACCCCTTACCTGCCTTTAAGTTATGATGAAAGGAAGCTGCATAATGAATTTGGTGGTCCTTGATTTTACCATTTAGGAGGACTTCTAGAACAAACAGACAGAAAAGCTCTCTCAAATATATAATAGATATACAGTGTACTTTCCAAAATACTCTGCTTCTGTGAGTCCAGCCAATCAAATGCTGTATTCTTGCTGATGTGAGCTCCTGCAGTGGCATTACTCTTGATTTGGCGCCACAGTGAGAGAGTAACAGGACTTTACTGTGATGGAATGTGAACTAGCAGTCAGTCCCATTTGTAGCAGTCTCATTGGATTGCTAGAGACAGCTCTGGGAGGAGGTTAGGCAGAGAAGGAACCAGTCTGGGGTGGGAGGGGGAAGATCTGTGGGCAGACAAGCGGGAGAGCACATTTGCCATAGATTGTGATTTTTTCAAGGCATATAAAATGTGCCATTTTAGTTGCTTTTATTGAAGAATAGAAGCTATTAATATGGATAAACAGGGGCTTCTGGGTCTGTTGTGCCTTCAGCTTTGGTAAGAGTTATTTACTTTGCATTATAAACAATGTCAACACTATTTGTTTGCTAGGTGTGGCTATTGGCTGGTAATGTTTCCAGAGTTCAAGGGTTTTGGTTCTGTAGTTTTGGTTTGGCCCTCTGTAGAATTGTTAAGGTGAGCCATGCAGTTTGGCTCCAGATCCATCTGTATCTCTGTTTTTTTTTTTTTTTTGGTTGGCATCCAGGGTTTGTTTTGGGCTCATCATAATGTGGTTAAGATACCCATGAGAATACATTGTTTTTCTAGTTTTTAAACCCTTTTTTACTGCTTTTGCCTGCAAATCTCTTCTTCGGCCACATGAGTCCAGGAGTTCTGTTCTTGCCTCCACATTGTGCCATTGCAAATCCTAGGTGAATTACATATTTAAAATATGGAAATGACTTTGGTGATTTTACAGGACTGTTTTTATGCCCTCTTGAGTTGGAGAATAGAAATATCTCCATATAAAACTTACAGCTGACTAAATGGAAAATGAGTATGTACTCAGGCCTAGGGTTGCCAGATGATTTAACCAAAAATACTGAACCCCCGCACCCCCCCAAAAAAGGAGAAATTTTTTTATTGAAAAAAGGGGGGAGGACCAAAGTTGTTGCGGGAAAAAAAAAAAAAAAAAGGACCCAGAGAGTTATTAAGCAAAAAAATTTTAAAAACCGCATGGCTCCTTTAAGAACAGGAGGGGCAGCTGGTAGCCATCTTGCCTCCCTCCCTGCTCCAGGCCAGACAGCTCCCCTGCAGAACCAGATAAGCAGCGGGGGGCAGGTTGCTGACTGTGTTGTAGGGTTGCCAGATGTCCGGTATTGACCTGGACAGTCTGGTATTTTTGCCCCCTGGCTGGGAAAAAATCAGAAAATACCAGACATTTTGAGTGTCTGGTATTTTCTGAATTTTTTTTTTACCGGACAGGAACCAAAAATACCAGACTATCCGGGTCAATACCGGACACCTGGCAACCCTAGGCCACTACAATTGCCTGATTTTCTTATGACCAGTGTGGGTCTGAATTTCAAACTTGGATGTCTACAATTTTGAATCTGCTATGGAAATGTCTGTCAGCCCTAATCAATAGTGGGAGATCAGATCTCCAAAAAATACCTTATAGTAGATAATGTTGGATACTCAAATCCTTGTTCCAGGACGCAGAAGTTTTAAAATTTGGCCTTTCTGGGACAAAAGTCATCCTTGGTTTCATCTCACTGAAATCAACAGATTGAGCACCTCAGGTTTAAAAAAATAAATGAGCATACTGACTAGGTCAGCTTTGAAAATCATCTGCAAAGCTTTTGTCCCTTTCAAATAAGCATGTGGATGAACTAGGAAATATCTGCTATAGTTATAGGCAAAACTCAACTGCTGTGTATCTGACTCTCCACATTTCCTCTCCACAGACCACAAATGATCTGCAAATAGCTGGTGGTTTTTCTTCTAAGGTGTAGGAACCAAAATACAGCCTCAGGCCAAAGGCAAGAACTCAGTGTTGAGTTGGTGTTATTATTTAATATTAAATACAGCCCACAAAATCCAAAGGGGAAAGCTTACTCATATGCAGAGAGTCCTTACAAAGTTATGCATCACTGTGTAGTGATGAAGTGTGTGTAACTGAGCAGCTGCTTGAAGAGGAACTGGCAGCCCTGGAGATGCTGTAGAAGGGGCCCTGCACCAATCCCCAACAGGCTAGCACAGAGCAGTGTATTGAGGTGGCCATGGGAAACCATCATTACCTGGCTCTAGTCCTCCGGAAGGGCAGTGGTTGTTGTTCTCTCATAGGCTGAGGGAGTGAGGTGCAGCGCTGCTGTTTGGGTACGTACAACTTGGGGGTGAATTCCAACCCTCCTTGGAGTAACTCCCACACAGCTTGATTAATCCAGACTAGTATGGGGAGGACAAAATGTTCACCCAAAATACATTGTCTCTGGCCACTTTTTTTTAATAAACTGCAGGCTGAGAATGAAAG